TGGATGGATGGATGGATGGATGGATGGATGGATGGATGGATGGATTAGGAAATTTAATAATTTAAATCACCACCAAAATCAAAGGCAGGAGATGTTTTTTTTTTTTATGTCTGTGTTTGATCTCAATATCTCATGAACCACTGGACAGATTTTTATGAAACCTTTAAGAAACAACCACTAAATGTTTGTGATTAACTTTTTAAGCCGGTCCAATTCAAGATTGCCACTACACTCCACTGAATTTGGGACACACTTAATGGCTAAAATTGGGAAAATTTTAGATATCGGACTAAATTTCTGCAGCTGAGTCATCCCCAACCCAACTCTGACCAAGGTTTGATCAAACTGGCTACAACACCATCATTTATCATCACAAGGTGACTTTACTCTAAAACTTTAGCATGGAAGGTTAAAAGCTTAATCTTCTACTCTAAAGTATTTGGGTTTATGACTCATCAGGGTCGGTTTCACCTCCACTGACTTTCTTTATTTCTTCTTTTGTTCTGCTGGTTCTGTGTTTCCGGCTGCTGTTGGTCGCTCCGTCTCGGAGTTGTTAACCCTGCTTGTTTCTCGTCAGGCCAGTTCAGATGGAGGTGTGTGTGGCTCGCTCGCTCCTCATCACGTCCGTGCTCATTCCTCCCCGGCCTCCCTCCCCGTCAACTCCCTCACCGCTCAAGCAGATGCAGATGTAGCCACCTCACCGATATTACCTGATGATGTGCCACTCCCAGACGGTTGGGAAATGGCCAAAACGCCTACTGGCCAACGGTACTTCATCAAGTAAGGGCCTTTTTGTCAGTTTATTTTTGTGTTGCATCTGTTGCTCTGCAGGTTTCTTCGAAGAGTTTCAGGCTGATTATTAAAAACAAACAAAAAACAATTTTAGCCGATATTGCACATTTTTTATTTAATTTGATTAACTACCATGTCTTGAAATGATATTTGATTATTATGTGACCACTCATTCAGTATCAACCAATTTATGAACCCAGCTAGGGGTATTCCTTTAAATTCTTATGAGTATATATATATATATATATATATATATATATATATATATATATATATAAAAATTCAATAATCCCTTTTAAATAATACAACAAAGGAATGAGATAATTAAATTCAGATTTAATGGTGTTTATGCAGTGCAGCTATCCCTGGGATTTTTTGTTTCTTTCGGCTGCTCCCTTCTTCAGGAGTCACCAGAGTGAATTTAGTCGCACAAATACTTGGCAATTATTTTTACCCTTGCCATTTCTGACGAAACCACAGACCACCGAGTTACCACAGCTCTCTGTGTGGAGCAGAGAGCTGCCATCCAGGGTATCTGGGGGAGCAGATGGGGGGTGGGAGGTTAAAGGCCTTGCTTAAGGGCCCAGAATGGGGCAATGAGGGTGGAGACAGGTGTGGGTGCTTCACCAATCCCACCCACATTTTGATGTTGTTTGTACCGTGAGTTGAACCAGTGAATTTTCCGATCACAGGCCCACCTTCTCTAACCTCTGCGCCACCACTCCTTTTCCTGGGATTTAATCCCTGGGATTAAAACTCATTAATTGCATGCAAACAGGAAATGGCTGAACTAGTTGTGTTACTTGTGTGCTTTGGCGTCAGAAGCATTTGTAATGTTGGGGTGGGGGGTGCGCTCTGGGGGTCCTCCCCTAGAAAATTTTGAATAAAGTAGATGCCATTTCCTGCATTCTGGTGTATTTTAACGGGTTGTTTAACATCTAGTTTTACATACATAAGCAAACACTTGATTCAATAACTATTTTAATTAGAGAGCTCGGCACAACAAGAAGTAGCCTGACCAACAGCTCTCCTTGTGTGAATAGAGCACGCTCCACTTCTCTCATGCATCCTAAACCACCCCTCACGGCACTAACGTAGGGCTAATCTGGCGGTGCAAGATGCCACAAATGTAGTGCTCCGCTTCTCTCACGCATTCAAACCCCCCCCATACACACACACACACACACACACACATGCGCGCCTGTCAACAACTGCCGGCATTAATGTAGCGCTAAGCTAGTTAGCACCCAACATAGAGGTGTCTCCCCTTCTTCCCCCACCCCAATGACAAAAAATCCTGAAGAGATGAGTGCCCCAAGGCAAGTTTCCGATGGGAATCACTGCATGCGGTGTGGTGAATTGTTGAAGGTACTAGGAAAACCCAGGGTCAAGTCAAGTCAACTTTATTTATAAAGCCCATTTAAATCAGCAACCGTTACAAAGTGCTTAACATCAATAAGAGCAAATTCATGGAAAAAATAAGAATAATGATGGTATTGAAAAATGAATTAAAAGCATTAAAAGAAAAAAAAACAATCGTAGAACAAAAAATACTAAATACTAAATCAACTCGCACTGTGTGAAATGCCAGAGAAAACTGATTTAAAAGCAGGAAGAGACGCAGCCTGTCTAATGTTGGGGTGCAGATTGTTCCAAAGTTTGGGGCCCATGACTGAAAAAGCCCGATCACCTCTGAGCTTCAATATTGTTTTTGGAACAGCCAAAAGCAGCTGATCGGATGATCTCAGGGGCTGAGAGGGAACATATGGTTCTAGTAACTCAGAGAGATAAGGAGACATAAAGGTTAAAGGCACCTCAAGGTTAGCAGGAGAATTTTAAAATCAATTCTGGTATGCATGGAGCCAGTGAAGGAAGGACAAAACTGGTGTAATATGCTCAAACTTATAAGTTCCAGTTAAGAGCCAAGCAGCTGGACGAGCTGGAGACGTGAAAAGGAGACCTGGCTGACTCCAACATAGTGTGTTACAGTAGTCCAGTTGGGTAGTGATAAAGACATGGATTAAGTTTTCAAGGTCAGATCTGGACAACACTGGCTTGAGCTTAGCTATCTGCCTTAACTGGAAGAAGCTTTTCTGCAGAACAGAGTTTATTTGTTTATTAACCTTAAAGTCAGCATCTAAAACCATCTCGAAGTTTGTTACAGACTGCTTAAGATATGGCTGAAAGGATTCCAAGTTTACAGGAACAGAGACGGTGGTTGAGCTAAGGCTAAACATAATGACTTCAGTCTTCTGATCATTAAAATTTTTTTAAAAATTGAAGCCATCCATGCCTTGATGTCATCCAAATATTTTAACAGAGGATGAATGAAGCAAGAACTAGTTGGTTTTAAGGGCAGATAAATCTGGCAGTCATCAGCATAACAATGAAATGACAGACCATGTTTCCTCAGGATAGACCCCAAAGGGAGCACAGATACAGAAGAGGTCCAAGAATGGAGCCTTGTGGGACCCCGCAAGAAATATGCACTGAAGCAGATATATTATTACCAACCTTAACACAGAGTTATGGTTGGAGTGGACTTTTAGTGGTTTGAGTGTTCTATTAATCAAGTGGAATGGATTTTTTCCACAAAGAAATAGAAACAACGCTGGTGAACTAATATTTCATGGTAATGAAATGTGGGCGGATCCAAATTATTTTTTTTAAATGTGAGGGGACTTTTCCCCTTCACATATAATTAATGTGACACCTATGTGGTTTCACCTTGATGTGAGCTCGTTTCCTGCTGGTTGACACACGGAGGCTCTTTCTCTGTCTGCATGAGTGTGAGTTCATGAGCGCGTCTGGTCGTACAGGTAAAGCAGGTCCGAGGCAGAGCGCTCCTTACCCTTCAGGTTCCAGTGGTTTAACAGATAAAGATGCGTTTAGACTTGTCATGTGTTTTCAGTCACCTGCAGAAGACAACCACGTGGCAGGACCCCCGACTCTCACAGCTTCAGTCGGCTGCAGCACAGCATCAAATCTCCTGCGCCCCGGTTCACGCCCACTCCTTCAGCAATCCAGCACCCACAACGCAACCCCAACCAATCAGTCAAGAGACAGGTAGACTACTGCTGTGAACACACAGACCATCTCTTTAACTTTTTCTTCTGCCAATCAGATCTTCACTAGGTGGGATTCCCTTCTGGTTCTCCTACATTTAAACCTCCAAGAACTTTGGTGGGATTCAGTCAGATCATTATTTGACCCAACACTGAGGTCCATTGTCATCAAATCGACGTCGGTGTAGGAGGGGAATGCTGAAAAGAACAATTGGGTTTCACTTGAGAGGAATAAGGTGTTTCCTCGTTTTCGTGCAGGTTTTCTTTGACCGTTAGATGAAAAGTCTTTAAAGAGCTGGTTTACCTAGATTAACTTTTATTTTCAGCAACAGAACCAGCCTGACCTGATCCAGAATGTGTCAGAAAGCAACACGTGATCAGTTCACACATTTTCACAGTTCAAGCAGTCTGATGGACCTAAAATCCTCATCATCATTTGTCTTGCTCCCTCTAATTATTAATGTAAAATCTTTTGTTTTCAAGGTTTGAGGTGCGGACAAAGTTCAGTTTTTGTCATTAAAAGAACTGACAAAGGATTTTCTGACGCTTCCTACACAAGCAAATCTCATTTTTCTTTTAAACTTGGTCATTGCCTGTAGATTAGTAGTAAATCTGAGGATTTTTTCTTTCATTGCTTCATATTCCAATACAAACTAAAAATGTGTACAGTACTCCCTCGTTTGTCGTGGGGGATCCGTACTCTGAAGCCCTGCGATAAGTGAAAAACCACAAAGTACAGATAGTAGTACAAGTAATAA